CTGATGCAGCTGAATGAGCGAGTGTTGTCGAGCTGTAGCGTCACCGACCTTGTAAAGAATCCGTTATCTCTCTGCGTACGCTCCGTTCCGTTCAGAACAAGCATTTCACACTCATGTTATCATTGTCGTACGTGCAATCTAACGGTGATCTCTTCTCCTCGAAAATTGAGCAATCGTCCGTTCTGATCGACGATGCGTATCGTTAGATCTGTAATGCTCCATGATCGGCAGGTAAATGATTTACGTCGGCCTTTCCGACATCTTATATCCTGGCGGCACGCTCGGCGAAAATTCATGTATCGTGTGTGCGCTTTTGCCATTGCTGTACGCACTCACGGTCACGTTACACTTTACGCGGATAACGTTTACATTCATTATGTTGATCGACACGTCCGATTCGTGCCACCTTCGGTTGCAGTATACACTTCGACGAAAATCCCAACAGCGATCCAATGATGTTGGACTTGCCAAAATTTATTCTGTATGCATCTAATCTCACATCTCATCGTGTTGCAGTTTGCACGGAGCGTAATTGGGTATTCTCTATCCTCACTATTATCATCATCATCATCAGTGTCATTGTCACCACCCACTACATCAACGATTTCAAGTGCGTCGCGATGCAGACGTTTTCATAAAATCGCGTTTCAGAAATTCATTTATGTCTCGCACTTCGTACGAACCCTCGAGAATTGTAATTTCCGCGTTGTCTTTGGTGAAATAAAATTTGTTGTTCGATTCGTTCACGTTCGGTATCTTGTGATAAGTTTCAAAAATCGCCAGATCGAGCTCGTAATCTCCGTCACTCAAATCTATGACGGGGAAATAATTCGCCGCGAAGACGGTACTCTTTCCGCTCAGTGTAAGCGTCAACGCTAAGCGTCAACGACATGACTGAAAGAGCGTTCGACTAATACTAAGATTTCACAGCACCTCGTCGAGCTTTTTTAAATTCACGCGCGTCTACCGTTTGTAGAAACCGCAGACACATCTATCCGCAGAAACTCTGATCGTATATCTTATAAGACGTGCGATTGTACTCTATCGTCGTACCGTTCTCGATATATCGCACCAGTTCCTTAGGCGTTCGAAGATTACCGAAACTGTCAAAATACACGATGCGATTGTTCCTCTTCACGTACGCTATCCAGTGAGTACTAGGCCCAGTCGCATCGTCCAGATTCACGATACCGCTTTCGTTTCGGCGCACGCCGCTCGTCGGTAACGTGTTACGCATGAAAATGCCTCTAAAGTATGGTACGCGTACACATCTCGCGAGCTCGTTCAATTGTAGATTGGTAGTTGCGCCAGATGGCATTTTTATCATCTTTTTGACGTTTTTTTTTTCTTTGCAGCTACGCCCTGTCCATGTTTGTATGGACCGAGATACAGTCCGCGACCCTATTCCATCGCGCGATTGTGACGTTGCAGTTCTTCGAGCTGACGTCGCGTGACTTTGCTATCGTTTACCGCTTTCGCTACGCTGGCCGCTCCGCCGATCAAGGACCCGAGTGCACCCAACATTGGCAGAAACAGTACGCACTATCTCGTTTCGCCGTAGGAAGTATCCGCTTTTTCGTCGCCTTTTTCTTCGTCATCTTCTTTTTCTTCGGTTTCATGCCCTTGCCGATCTTGGCTTTCATCGCTGCCCAGACGGCAGCTGCGGCGGCTCTCTCGCTCAGAGCCGAATCTCTCGCGACCACGCGTCCTAGCGCTTTATCGGAGAGTACCATGTCCTGCGCTTAAAGACGGGAGATACAGAAAGAAATTTAACGAGTTCACGATACTGTAACGTGACTAGTCGTTGTCGATACTTCGCCAGAGACGAACATGGCTGATGTGCGCGAGCGTGAAAAAATCGCGAGAGAGATCGAAAAGACGAGCGAGTCGATCCGCAAAAAACATCGCGCTCTGAAAACCAATAGAATCGAGGAGGACATGGCATTGGACAGACATTTTAACCCTATTATCAAATCGCTGCGACAGATCGTTGACAGCCCCGGTGTGCGCGCGATAAAGAGACAGTCGCGCGATAATGACTCAGCGTCTGCCTCCAAGCGCGAGAGGAAGAAAGAAGAAGAGGAAAAGGAGGAGGAGGAGGAGGAGGAAGAGGGAGAGAAAGCGAGTGAGACGTTCGAGCATTTCCGCGATCCCGCATAAATCCGATGATCAATCGCACGATCGTGTACAGCGGATAACCTCCACTCCGCGTAAAATGATCGTACCGGCGATAGAATCGTTGGATAATCATTTTCGAAACGGCGGACGGCTCGCTAGTAACAAAGGTTCAAAATCGGTTGCAAACGTCGGAAGATCGAGAGGCGTTGCAAGTCGCTAGGTCAAAAACGTCGAGGCTGTCCTGAGGGGAGCGCGAGATAACAGAAGAGTGGTATAGATTATATACGGCGTTTACCTACACAAGGATGGATTGATGTTTGGCAATAAACATTTCGACGTGGATGATGCGGACAATGTAATTATCGACGGCGTACGATACGCCGGTCTTTACGTTAATTTTCAAGAGAATTTCAAACGATCTCTTCTACATGGAAGACGATATGAACAAGTACAAGAGCATGCTGCAGATGACGAATGCGCACAAGCATCATTCGCAGGGCCGATTATTGAGCAACAGGGGATACAAGTACAAATACGTAATCGCGCCGGTGATGTCGATCACACCCAAGAAACAGAAGAAGAAATCTAGAAAAGGATTACCTCACGCAATGAACGACAACGCGATCGATTACGTGCACTGGGACAATCCCAACGAGCTAGTGGAGCGTGTATTGCTCGACGCTTCGCACCGAGCGGGCAACAACGCTCATGACAACGAGATGCTGTCGATTATTGACTAACTTCGCGAAGCCGTCTTATTATAAATTAAATCGCATATCGACAAAACGAGTCAGTCGAGTGGCGCCAGCAAAATTCAAAGTGGGCAAAATTCGGTACGCGTGAGCAAGTACAAGACGATTTTTTAGAAGGGTTACACACCAAATTGGATCACTGAGGTGTTTACGATCATTAAGGTGCAGCGTACCAATCCCGTAACTTATCGAAGACCACGAAAAATCCGTCGCTGGTGCGTTCTACGAGCACGAGTTGCATCGCGCTATTCATCCAGACGTGTATGTCGTGGAAAAAGTACTGCGCAGGAAGAAAGACAAGTAGTTGGGATTCGATGGATCGCATAATTCATGGATACACAGAAACAATGTCATTTGATAAAATTTTTCGTGTATTTTTTTTACATATAAAAATATATATATTAATATAAGTATATAAACATATTTTTTTTTTATTACTCCTCACTCATCATCATCTTCGTTTTATATCTAGCGATTATCTAGCGATATCGCGTTTCATAGTCTCGTAAACATCGTCGCATTCTATATAATAAATGAGACTGTCTGTGTCGGTGTACATGATTGTTTTTGTCGCGATAAATCGGCATGTACGTGTCGTGGTGAAATTCGTACAAGCAGACTTTCGATATGTCAAATATGCACATACCCACGTAAATCTGTTTGTTAAACTTCATCTCGAGTTTGCACATTTCGACGGCGATCAAATTTTCCGCAAAAACGTTACGGCTGTGAAAATTCGGTTTCGCGATCATTGCCTCCGCGCCGTCCGTCCGTCCCATTTTGTTATTAATTTTACATCAACGTGGTTGCACACATTCTCTATGATCTTACCGAACACGGCGTTGTTCATTAGTTTATACAAATTTTTTTCGAAATCGTTTTTCGCGAGCGTTCTAAATTGTGTATTGAGTTCAATGTAACCGCAGAGCCATAGAGATTAAGCGAATTGTAGTACCCGGTGGATCTTTATTACGCGAAGACTGTGACGAGTATGTTGCTGCAGGTTGCGGTAGTGGATGACGTAACACTGCTTATCGTACAACGTCGCTAGAAGTTTATCTTCGCGCTTGCCAGGCGGTTTATCGTGCGTTGGTCAGAAAGGTAGGTCAGTGTGTTGGTCGTGTAGATGCTTCGGATACTCGAGATCGACTTCGAGAATATAACCAGTAGGTGAATCCGGAGCGATCGCGTCAAAGTTCGCAGCGTCTTCGACCATCGAAATTCGGCGTATGGTAAAGGTTGACATATTGTTCATCCGTACAGATTATTCACATCGTAGTACATCAAGTACGACGATGGTTTCGATGGATCGAACAAACAAATGTACTTGTTGTTAGCCTGCGCATATATGCCAGAGCATTGATTGAGGCCGCCGCGTATACCGCGCTCGATGAACATGATCATATCAATATTAATGTGTAACTCTAATCTTACGCGTGTATATTTTAGCATTTTTGGCGTTTTGGTTTACGTGAAACCTGGCAATGTATAATAATGCGCGGGATCGAGTACAGTAACTCGCGATGCAACTATTGCGGAAATTTTCGAAAATGTCTGCTAATAACAAGACATCAGTTTTCAAGTACAGATCACTGTACTCGTCGAGCATTCGGATGGAGCTTCCAGATATTCGCAGCGTGAGCGTAATCGCTTTCGGATACTGTATCGCCTGTCAACGAACTGAAAAATAATTCGCGCGGTGGTGAGCGCATGTCCTGCAATTTTTTGACGCAATCAATGTACTTGTACGAAAAGACACTTTTTCGTGTGAGTAATTCAAATTTTTCGTCTGATAATGTTGGAAATTCGGAACGTACAATTTTTAATTTATCTTTTTCGAGATACGATGCCAATTTATTGAGGCTTGCATTTAAAAATTTCAAAGAATCAATGAATCTTAATTTTATGCAATTTTTCTGAAAATTATTTCATTTTTGTCTTTGGTGCTATCGACATGTTTAGTGAATGAAATATATTTTTCTTTGATTATCACTACATGTATATCTACATGTCCATCGTACGTGGTAGCAATTTCCTTAATAATAAAATTATAAAATGCGCGTCGTAGCCTGATAAATTGTGAAATACGACTGGAATATAAAACGAATTTTTATAATTTAAATTACAATTCTCTCTGTCGAATGCGCTGGACCACGGTATCTACTGGTGAGATGACAATGATCGCGGACTCACGTGTCGTCCGGCGCGAACGTTTCTCGCAAATGTGACAACGCGTCGCGCTACGGTACGCCTCCCATTGCTGTTAGATAACGTTTCCATGGGCGTTGGCGGATATGATATTTTTCGCGATGCGCCAAATCATTGAATTGTCGCGCGAATCACGCTATACAGTCTTTATCGCGACGGAAGTGATACGATAATAATGCGTCATTGTACGCACATCGCACATCGTAGTAGCCTATACTAAACGCATCATGCTTGATACATGTACGACGTCGCGTCTTCCTTGTCGGATTTCGTCTTGCGTAAGACGCACTCCAGATCGGCGTAGACGATGAACGGCACTCGTTCCCGATTGTTATAGTTGTCGAATTCGAGCCACCTGTCGTCCTCGCTCGGCAGTCGCATGGCGCAGTCATTGATCTTCTGGCAATCCACTTCGTGCGGCTGCAATTTTTTGCACGAACTGAAGTAATGAAGGCACCTGCAAATAATAAATTCTTTTTTACTGTTTCTTATTGACTATTTTTATTATACTTACCGATCACAAAAATATTTCCTGCTCTCGTTCCCAGTAATTTGTGATCTTACAAGGCGGGATAGATTTTTTATCCACGCAAAGTGTCTAATGTTGTAGTTGCGTGAATATTGTAGATACAGGAGATTGACATGCTTCTCTTTCTTGTCATTGGTGAGCCACAAAGGAAAGACCTGTCTATTTTCGATGCTATACACGTTGATCGACACCGCGTTCAACCGTTCGAATTTCGGAATGTCTTTTAATGTCATTGGAAATTCGATACCCGTGAGATTTAACACTGCAATGTAATGCGGGTATGATAATTCCCGATTTACATATCTTTCTGCAGGGTACAGAGCAGCGACCACCGACCACGTGAAACATGCATTGTCCGTCGAATAAACACTGACCCCTCGTTTCGTCGCTATTTCTCGCGACACTTCGATGTGACATCCCGCGTGCATTGAATTATGCTTATTCACATTCACTACCAAATTGAGGTTCGTGATAATGCCCGCTGTTGCGTTCCTGAAATTCTTCGAGCGATGCTAGGATAGGCGACGACGTGTCGCTCCTACCACTCGCGCATATCAGTGCAACGATGTATCTCGCTGTTCTTTGTAATTATGCTTTTATAGCATGTTTATCCTTCGTCGCAAACTCGTTGAACGCGGTTCACTTTTACACTGCCATGTCTTTCTACAGCGTCTCGCACTCGCTCGAGCACTACATCGCCAGCATCTTCTAAAAACTGCCGCTCGATGTGATTAGAGTTTATCACCGTACCTGTCAATATACGACTCTCAAATGCGGCGTCGATTTCTCACTAGACAAGAGATCGTTCGTTGCCACTCGCGTACTCGCCATCAATGTGCACGAAACGTCGCTCCAATTGCAACTTTGCACCCGCGAGTCGCGCGATCCTCACCACCGCGGTTTGTCTGTATCCAAAGGCGCGGACGCTTGGCACGACAAAGTTCTTCAAGCTGCTCGATGCACTCGTCGCATCGTTGCAGCCACGAGAAACACTCCACCAGAGTAGCGACCTGGCCGTACTGTTCTAGCAGTTCGCGTTCCACTCGCTCGTGGTTTTCCATGTTTTTTTTTAATGTGTGCAAAGTGGGCACATGCTGCACGAAAATATAATGTACAAAGGCAGTCTGCAATTCGTGGACGACATGCCGTCTAGCCTACCGAAAGAACCGGTCTCATACACCCTGACGTGATACACACAGACATTTTTTACACACGTGAGACATTTCTCCATCGTTAATGTCAGCTATACGAATCATACATGATGTTTATACGGTTAAAGAACCACCCGTTGTATAATAATTGTGGATCACACAGTGCTTAGTACGAGCATTCAATATACAAATTTCTGGAGACGACATGAATTTTTTTATGCGATCCATTTCACTCGCTCATATCACTAGCGTATCCACTATTGTCGGATAGCATTTCTTCGTCGGACGACTCTTGGTCTATTATATTCTCAAAGTCTACTTCCATTTCATCAAACACTTCGTCTCTAATATTCGCGTACTGTTCCTCATCCATATTTCTAATATATTCTGCTACGTCGACTCTGTCCTCAATGTTACCGATATTCTCGAACTCTACACCATTATGTCCTCAAATTCTATTTCCATTGCTTTAAATAACATGTCTGTATTTACACCATCCATGTCCTCAACGTCTGCATGATGTCAGCCATACTTTTCGCATTACACTTATTACGATTCGGTAATCTTTAAAAACGTCAACTTAGGTGCCGCGCGCTTATGACCCATTATATATTCTATTTGCGACTTCTTTGTCCCTTTGTCTACCCTCCCTATTGCAACATCGGTGACGTGTCATCGATCTCTTCTTACAAAAAAATATCGTTATCGGCGTCTTTCTCTCTTAACGCGTCGCGACGTATCATCGATCTCGCAGTTCTTCCTAGATAAATATCATTATCGACGCTTCTGACCTTGCGCTCTCTTTCAATTTGGAGCGAGTTTTATAGTTAATTTTGCGTCCGAATGCGAATTTTACTTAATTTCTTATGTTTTTATCTACGTTATAACTCTATTGTTAATTACCATTGTTAATTTATTTGTCACATTAATTTATTTGTCACATTGAAAATGATCCAACAAGGATCGAAACGTTTGTTTTGTTCACCTTCTGATTGTCAAATTATATTTTATGTTTTTAATTTTATGACATAGTTTTATTTCATTTTTTTAACTATTTATACAGTTTGTCAATTTATGTTTTAGGCTCGTAGCCCTTTTTCCTTTTTACTTATTTTGATTTATTGAGCCTTATTATTTTTATAATATAATATAATATATAATATGATACACACACATATATATATATATATATATAATATATATATAATATAATTTTTTTTTCAGATGTCTCCACTACTTTAGCTAAATTGGAGATTCACAGCCAGGACGTATTTTTTACAAATCGCTCGTTTTAACAATCTCCTAGGTATCTTCTCACGCTCTTTGCTGTAGTCCATGTCAACGTATCGATGTCAGATGATCATGATATTGCAAAATCATTAAATCCTTTTCTGTATTACTCATTGGTAAGCGCACTATCCTTATCAATCAAGAAATACATATCAACCTAGAAATCTATATTTTTGCCAACATTTATGACATAAATCGCAGAAATCTTTATAGAATATATCGATATTCACGATCATTGTATACGCGTTTCATAGATACCATCCTTTTTAAACAACAGATTTGAATTCGCGCATAAGATGCTTCGGTATCTTTGCGTACGTCTGACAGAAATAGAAGCAATCGATGTTCGCGTGTCGTCCCATTGCAAAGTACTCTCTTATCGCGTCCTGCTTGTCGCACGCGACGTTATCAAAGATAAAGATGGAATTCGGAAGCGCCTCGCTCAGTGGAATGACGTCGATGTTATTGAATGTAAAATAACCGATTTCCTCGATCGATGCTAACAAATTCAATTCAGATATCGATATTTCGATTGTTGCAGCAATTTTGAGTATACGTTCTCGAATCGTACACCGTGCGGATTTTCCGGGCTTATCAGCACGTTCGTCTTGTCGCAATTTGACGCACCGCAGATTATAGCGTGTGTAGAGGCCGGTAGCATGTTGCCATGCTTACGCGTCTCTTTATCGGTTTGCACTTTGCCGTCGAGATTCATCACTTTGATGCCCTGGCGCACAAAACCGCATTTTTTCTTTCCACAAAATATTGAAAGCGATATCGCGAGAGAGTCTATTTATAGAGTCACGTAGAGCGAAATCGATCAGTAATCAAATTGTTTCTCGTCGTATCAGATGATCTGCACAGTTTAACCTCCAAAGAACTGGAATACATACCGAAAATTGTACTGCGAGAGTTTGAAAATTGCATAGATCTGTTGTGGAACAGATTATCAGAATATATACGAGCAGATTCGGAGGTACGATGATACCATCGGTACTTGAAGCATTACAATTTACTGAGTCATCAAACGCATATCGATGGTCCGGCGCTTCTGATAAAGAATTGCAGCGAATGTCGTCGAGAGGCTTGTTAAATCATGCATATAAACGTACTTCCTTTCGAACTACAGATTCCCGGATATCAGTTTTGCGCTCCGGGAACGCGATTGGAAAAGCGATTGAATCAAGGAATTAATTCATTGGATGCATGTCGCGAGCACGACATAGCATATTTGCACAGTAATGATCTCACTGAACGACACGCGGCTGACATATACTCGCCGAGAAGGCGCGGAAACGCATTACCACGAGTAATTCGACTTTTAGAGAGAGAGCTGCAGCCACAGCAGTTTGGGTAGCTATGAAGGCCAAAACGAAGATTGGTATGAGTTCGAAAACAGGAAGAGCATGCGGATACTTCCGACGGCGCCCAGTTCTACCGCTGCGCGGCATTCTTGGGTCATGGTTCGGTAGCGCGGCGAGAGTCGCCAAGGCAGTAAACGATAACAAAGCGGCGCAGCGTCAGTTGAAAGAACTGCAACATCGTAATCGCGTCATGGAAAATCGCGGAGTTTATTTTGCTCCCTACAAGCGCGGACAAAGTATCGCGCATAGAAAAAAAAACGATGAAACGTTCAAAATGCCGAAGGGAGTAACTACCGATGTGCAACTGCAATTTACGAACCGTATGCGCGATTCCATATTTTAGAGGCATCTTTATGCATACTACATTACCGGTCGAAACGAGAGTACGTCAAAACGAAAGCAGTATCGTAAATCTGGACAATACCAAGGGATCTGAACAACCCGATATAGATTGGGATTGCGAAAAGAGGGAATCGCGTCATGTACTTTGATAGTTTCGGCAATCTTCGGCCGCTGAAGAAACTCGAACGATATCTGGCAAACAGTGCAATCGAGTACAATCGCACGCCTCATCAACGTTATAGCCAGAACAATTGTGGGCAGCTTTGTCTACAGTTTCTACGAACGGTTGACAAGCAGTTCAAGGACCGACATTGTATTGTTTAACTCAGTGCTCGTTTGAAACATGTCGCTGACATTTACGCTGACCGGCAAGAGTAGCGTTCTCGCCGTGAACTACTTTCCAGCGGTAGATTTGGTGACAGCAATTACTCGGTTTAACGAACTTTGAAACGAACTTACTCTAGCAAATGTAAATTAAACAAACAAGTTTTACTATGACAATGAGAAAATACGAACGAGAATTATATGAACTGCGTGATATAGAGCAGTATCTGAAGCGTGAAATTTTACATTCTCACGATGCAAGGAGGATGAAGAGTTACCGCTGGTTATTCGCGCCAACAACATATACGATGAAAAGTGAGATCAAATGCGCCTATCGAATAAATTTTGCAAACATTAACTCGCTGCTGGGATTTTTGTCAAATCGCGTGCTGGAGCCGCGACAGTAGCACGAGTCAGATGTGCCGATAAATCAATGAACATCATACGAATCGAGTGCAACGTGACCGCGTGCGTACAGCAACGACAAGTGCGTGCACGCGAATTTTTGCCGAACGTGCTACCGGGATATAAGATATCAGAAAAGCCGACGCAGATCATTTACCTTCCCATCGTTGTATGGAACATTACGGATCTGACAATTCGCGTGGTATACCAAGACAGTCGATTGTTCGATTTTCGGGGAGAAGAGAGTTAGGTTGCATGTACGGCAGTGCTAACGTACATGAGATGCTTGTGTTGAACGAATAGCCGAAACAGATGAGAGATACACCTTTTATTGGAAAGAAACTCCCCTAAACCTGAAAAGAAAAAAACTCACTGCGTCCGTTGCATTCTTAAAGTCGTTGGGTTTCATACGAAATGGCTAATATCCTAAATATTACCGGTGAGCCGATCTTTGACGACCGCATCGTCAAGATTGAGACTCATACGTACAATCCGTATACTAACACTATATTTGGACATAGCGACGAGATACGGATACCCATACAGCAGCAGGATTTGTATACGTTGCCGTGTGACAATTTTCTCTACATCGAAGAAAGATGGTGAAGAAGAAAAACGATCAGATGTCGACGACGAAATAATTGGAAGTATTAGAAATAATTGCATGGCGTTCATGTTTGATAAAATTCGATATGAACTCAACAGTGTGGAAATTGATCACAATAAAAACGTCGGAATTATCAGTACTATCAAGAATTATGTGTCGATGACGTAAGATAAAGCTTTGATTGCTCTGAACGCAGGATGGAACTCTAGATCTGACATGGAAGAAGGACACTTTAATTTTTGCCAACATGATGTTGGACTTTTGCAAGGATTACAAACGCGTGGTCGTCAACGCTCGCCATGAATTGATTTTGATACGAGCGCGCAACGCATTACAAT